AAATGATGAGATTCGAAGAATTTTACATACCTTGCAAGTGGTGATGGCAATGGTGGTTAGACTCCAATTCAACCTTTGATACTTGCTGAAAATGATCTCCAATGAATGTGTATGATTCTGTTTGCAGTGATTTTTGCTTAATCCTTGTGAATTACTCTATTCCATTCTTCATGCAAATTGGAGTTTCAACTTGAATCTCTTTAAACAGCCACGAATTCTCTCCAAGTTCTTGTGCCAATTACTCCCTGATGATGGTGGATGATGATGATAACAGAAATCAGAATGATGGAGGAAGTTTTAATGGAGTTTTGATGAAAATGCAACTTGGAGTGAAGAAGATAAATGGTACAATTCTTGATCAATTCAACCACTTCTTGATGTGAATCCTAATGTTTGAATGATGATGATGAAGATTCAATCCAAAGATGTGAGAGTTTTGAGAGATTTGTGAGAGTTTGTGAAGCTTATGCCAAAATGAGAAAGTGTGGAAAAGTTGGGGTTTTGAACAAATGGGAGCACCAACCCTTGCATGAACCAACTTGTATGAATATATAGATAAGTTTAGAACTTCCTAGAAACTTGGAGAAGTTTCCCTTGCACTTTTCCCTTTCAATTTGGTTTATGTAACTTTCAATTCAAGCAACCATGGATAACTCTCAAATTATGAACTAAACTCAAAATTCCACTTTAGCCAATGTCTTTAAAATGCCCTTTCCATTCAAAATGACCTATAATTTTGCTTCATTTGGCCAAGATATGAAAAATCTCATTTTTAAGGCCATTTTTCTTCATTAAATTCAACAATTTTGAAACCTTGTGCTATGAACTTTTCCAATCTCTCATGGTCACTTTTCTAGACTCAAAATGTCATTTGGAGAAAGTTTTATGTTGTAAGTTTTTCCATTTGAAGCTTCCTTGTATGAGTTTTGGACATAGGCTAAAATGACCTGTAATTCACAAATGACCAAAATACCCTTTGCTTGCCAAGACCATAAGTAGAGTTCCCCACATCATATGAAGGCATACTATACCATTATAGAAAGCTAAGACAATAAGGAACAACTCTTATGTTGACCATAAATTCATTTGAGATCTCCTTGAGGGGTAAAAATTGCCTGGAAGTCAAGTCACTTTCACAGACAAAATTTCAGATGCCTCAGATGACCTGTAACTTGCAAGGACCATAACTTGAGTTCTATAAATCTCCTTGATGTCTTCCACCACTCAAATTAAAGGTCTTGATATCCTATACAAGTTTCATGTTGGCCAAGAAGCCATTTGAAGCTTGCATTTTGGCTTATCTTGCTTGGAAGTTTGACCTAAACTAGGGGATTTTACATAGAAACCCTAGTTTAGAAACTCTTCTTCTCCTTGATTTCTCTTGATTCCTTCTTAGCATGACAACATATCCTTATTATCCATGTTAAATGATGAACCCCACATCTCTTCAATAGCCCTTAATGCCTTCAAATCAATCAATTGACCTAGGGTTGACCTAGGGTTGACCCAGATGAAACCCCAGTTGACTGTCTTCAACTGTAGCTCTTGTGATCACATCAACAACTTGTTTTCTTCTCCAAATGAATTTCTAAGTCTTCCAAGATGTCTAGATACTCCCCATGCTCAGCCCACAGCTCACCATTTCTTTATTGATCCTCAGACACCCCCAGTTAGGAGATCTACTCAATGCTTGATCCACTGAACTCCCTGCTTTCAAATTCTTTTCTGATGACTTGAATGAGATGGAATTAGGATAATAACCTCTTGATAGGCCTCTAGAGATGATAATAATGGTTGATCCCCTGTTGGATGACTTGCTATGCTTATGCTATGCAGATGAGTAACCTATGTACATGACTCTATATGCAAATGCTAATGATATTGAAACATAAACCAAGTGAATAAGGTTGAGCAAATTTTAGGGTGCAACAGTATGCACCAAAGGAGGGTTGTTTCCTATAGAAGGTACAATAGGTTGGTTTACTTCACTCAAACCAGAGCCAAAATCAAAAGAGGGGTGATAAGTTGGCTCACCTTGGCTATTGAGGGGATAAGTGACAGAATTGCCTGAAGCGAAAGGATAGTTTGCGTTTGTATCAGCCTGAAAACACAAGCAAAAAAGAATAAGGCTAAGCAGGTGATTAGCAAAGGTACACGTGACAAAATGTTGGTACACATACCTGAGTTGGTGCAGCACAGGGGTTAGAATGGTCACCTCCATGGTCACCAGAAGTTGTCTTCAAGGTAGCCATAGGAGGTTAATTTTCGACGCTGCTTGTAGCAGGTGTCGTCTCAAGAATTTTGGCCACCTTCGATAGAGGTGGGCCAGTGGGTCCAAATGCCTTTATAGGTTTCTTTCTATTTTTTACAAGAATATCCTCATGAGATTCATCAGCATCTGAGGCAACAACAATAGGAGCGTCCTTCTTACCTTTCTTGGAAGGAGTTGAAGGTTTTCGCCCAACCTGAGAAAGTAAAAAAGAAACACTACAAGTGTGAGAAAAGAATCACATAGTAAGAAAATAGGCAAAAGATGTAAGATATACCTGTTTGCCTTCTTGGTCCTTACTACTTTGAGAGGTAGCAGCCCTAGTGGAAGGAACTTTCCTAGGCACAGCTGGAAGACAAGAGATGAGTGCTAGTTAAATATTGAATGTTTAGCTGCATAATCATAGGTAAAGGGCATCAAACCTTCATATATGTCAGATTCGAAACGAACGTCCTAAATCCCTATTGAAGATGTCCTTTGAAACTATCTAAAATGTGCTTAGTCGGAACCACTTGTCGAGCCTTTGGTTAGGACTGTTGTCGAAGGAATTTAAGATCCTCGCCACAGACAAACCAATTTGGAAATGGAGGAGCAAGTGCCACTCCAAAATCAGCAGGAGGCAGGCGAGGGAATTTTGGAGGAAAGAGTTTAAAATCTACCTCATAACGTTTCTCACGAGGAACGTTGGAAGGAATTTTTAAATGATCCAGTTTTTGCAGAAAGTTTCTTTTTAAAGTAACGGAAGCCTCATGAATGGTTCGACTAAGATCATCTGGTCGATAAACAGTTTCAAAGTATTTCTGAAAAGCTTGAATTTCTTGGATATGAGCGACCTTACTTTTCTTCGTCTTGTCCTGCACATCAAGGAAGGCTTGGTCAAGTAGTGAAGAAAAAGTGGTCACATTAAGAAAATGTTCACTATAATGTTTGGACCACCAGTGGTGGAATGAAGAAGTGCATAGAAAAGAAGGCTCAAAGAACACTGGCGAAAGCACTCCTCTCTTCTTGCTCAAATCAATGAAGATGTTAGAAATTGTTTCTTCATCGAAGCTGGCAGTATGAAGGGTGACTTGACCCTTCTTTTCATATAAGCACCTAGGAAAACTCTAGATCAACCCAAACTGGCGAGAAACAAGGTTAGGTTGATACACAATCAAGGATGCTAAACCTGTTCCCAAGTTAAGTTTGTTGACAATGAACCTAGGAATTAAAAAGGCTTCCCAGATAGCAACAGATTCATCAGAAGTGGGAAATGGCCTTTTAAACCATACAGGGCCATACTTCCTTGAAGCAAACAGTGCCATACTAGGAGTAAACGCATGGCGCTTAGCAAACATCAGGATGTAACTAGTGAATTCTCCCTTGGTGGTTTCACCATCATCGTTGGGAGTCAACTGGACCAGACGAGGTCCCTCGATGCTCCTCCCTACGATTTCAGCAGAGGCTTCATCAACTAAGCCTTTCCTAGGAAGGCTAGCTTCAAAATTTGAATTAAGCCACAACTGAAGCAGCCACAGAGGATCACTCAAAGATATAGAATCACAGGCCTCCATGCGCTTCAGTCGAGAAGCTACTTCACTCAGGGACTCATAAAGGTTTTCCAGAATATGTTCACTCAAGCAAACACCTTTGTTATGATGAAGCTAGTTGGCCATTTTTGGCAACCTGCAAAGATTTGGTGCAAAACACGTATCTCGACAGCCATACGGCGAGAAAAGCTATATGTTCTCCATCAGATACACCTTCAGTGGTTTGATCGAAGTGGTGTTTGATAAAGTGAGTATACGTGAGTTTTGAGTTAGAAATATTGATATAGTCTTCAGCGTCGACATCAGGCTGGTAGGAGACACCATCAGGGCGAAGGCCGGTAATAGCGGCTATGTCGAAAAGAGCTGGGGTAACCATCCCACATGGCAGGTGGAAAGTATCGTGGGTGATATCCCAGAAGTATAAAGAGGCTTCCAGCAAGTTCAGACAATACAGTATGTTCGTCTTCGACAGCATCAAAAGATCATAAATCCCTACGGATTTCCAATGGTCAGCTTTAACCTTCTCCATCTTCGCCATCCAAAGGTCAAAGTCCTTAAGGGAACTGACAGCTCTCACTAGCCTTGTACCGTCAGCGAGATAGCCAAGGTTGAAATTTGCACTACTCCAAAAATTGTTTTTAATAACGCATTTTTTCACCTTTAATAGCGCTATAAAAGCCCCCGCTATTATAGATTTGATACATATAATAGCGCTTTGAAAACGCTATTAAAATGAGTAATTTTAATAGCACTTCATTATAAATGTTATCATTGCCCTGTTCCGCGCTACCATACACATTGTTTATGAAAAGATTTAATAGCGGTTTTTAAAGAAGTGTTATTATAGTCCTTGTATTTAATAGCGCTTTTTGTAGAAGTGCTATTATAGTCCTTGTATTTTATAGCGCTTTTTCTAAAAGTGTTATTGTAGACACTATCTTGAATAGAACTTTCTAGAAAAACGCTATTAATGCCCTTTATTTATTCTTTTAAGAAAATGAGATTTTATAACTCAATACTACAATAAAAAATCACACATTTTTAAAAAATGCAAATATCGATAATATGACACATAAGACCTGGTCAATTAATTTGTATTCAAAATAACTTCAAATAATATAAATGAATTATATAAATGTTTGAAGTCAGTTACGATATCGACTAAATCAATTACAAACAATCTAAACTGATTATAATTTGCTTCATTCCTTGAAGGCGGGAGCAGGCCTTTGACGGTGAGCACCATGAGATGCGATATTGCAGTTTTCTCGGCGGCCATTGATCATGACAGTCGGTTCCTCGCAAGCCTTATTTGCCACCTCTGCTTCCTTGAACGTTACAAATTTGTAGCCTTTGGATCTGCCGGTAACCTTATCGGAAATGATAACAACTTCAAGGATTTCTCCGTACTTTTCAAAATGTTCTCTGAGCGTGTCTTTCGGAGTCTCCCAAGCAAGACCTCCGACGAACACTTTGGTCAGCGTAGTGTCCCCAAACTGTGATCCATTGTTGTGGTTGTTGTTGCTCATCATGAATCAGATCAATTTATCAATTTTAGATTGATAAATTGATTTGTAAATATAGTATAAGAAAGAAGAAATAGTGTGTTGATGAGTGATGATGATGGGCACTATGAATCAATGAGTCTAACTAAGAAGAGTACTTGGGTGCCATAACATCATATCGAAGCTGCCATAACATACAAAAAAAAGAGAGGAAGATTTCAACAATGAGAATGGTCCAGAATTGCACCATGGTTACACTCCACAAATAACTAGAATAACAAAACTAATGTCCATAATACTTTAACTGCACTCACCTCACATAGAACTTCAACACTTCTAGCATTGAAATCCCTTATCGATGCACATTTCACATGCTGCAATCATATAAAGTTAGTCAATGGTATTAACACATGAGGGAATATCAATTTATTATGTTGAGAAGATATATGATACTCAATAATCCAGAGATATTGGTGGTTGTTAATAGCAATCTGATAAAGTTTGTAGAACTAAATTGCTAAATTGAAAAACTAAAAATTTAAGTTGCAACTGACTTACATCTCTTATTAGATTTTTCATCAGTCATATGTTAATATTTATAACCAACATCCATGATATTGCTTTACCTTCATACCTATCCTTCATACCAGCAGAAAGAAACTCCAAATCCGCACCCTTTTTTCGAGTTCCAAATGGAGGATTCATTATAATTGTATCGACAATTGGATTTGGTGAAAGCACCAATATTATTATTGCTTTCTTCTTAACTGGTGACTATCACAAGATTATATTGTTTGACAATAAATAACATACACCTAACGCCTATTTGGATTGACTTATTTTACCTTATCTTCTAACATTGAGAGAGATTACATACCAACATAAGAACTAGTGAAACTATTTGGGAGAACTTATGGAAATGGCTTATGACATATCTATAACCTCTCCAAGATAGATTCCGGAAAATAATGTATATCTTATATGAATATGGTTTCTCTTTATTTTATTTATTGTTATAGAAATAACTTATATATAAGCACTTCTGTGATAAGTGCTTATGCTAGAAGCACTTAGTTAAACCATTATTTTTCAGAATTATAGTGCTTAAGAACTTTGTTTAGATCCAGTTCTCCAATATTTTCCTGAATAAAGGCAGACATTATATACCATAAAAAAAAGTAGCTGTGCTTCAAGATGAAAACATATACTATGTGATGGTATCATATTATTTAAGGACAGAGATGATGTTGAAAATACCTTTCCATCTCATGTCCATGATATTAGATTCAATAAAATCCATGTCCAACTACAGTTTTAGTTAAATAACGAAGTAGCCATGTATATCAATATCCATTAGTGGAGGCTAGATTTAACATAATAATCACTTCTGATAAAGTATATAAATATAACGCATTTATTCAATGACCATATTTCATCTCCTATTGTTTCAATAAAATTCAAAATATGAACCTGAATCTTTCTTACTCAACATATGTAAAACAATAAAAAAAGTATTGAGCCTTATTATTCTTTTCCTTCAACAAGAGAACTGGTTATTATGAAACCTACACATTTACCAATATAAGCATCAAAAGCACAATACCTCGAGTTCCTCAGCATTAAGAGACGTTATTTCAAGAGATTCTGGATCAATGTCAATGCTGAGAACATTTGTGATCAATGATAACATAAATCAAAAGAATATTTTAAAATCTTATTTAATTTGAAAGGGGAAGAAGTATTTCAAGAACAAAGTTAATAAACATCAAATTTAATTTTCATCCTTCAATAATGAAATTCAATGAAGATAGCTACTACAATCTGTATAAAATAGTAGTTCAAAATGTTAGCATACCAATAGTCAACGTCACTATAATCTCCCATAAAATAGATGATAGAAAAAATAAGACAAACTGATGAAATATCAAAACAATGAAACTACCACTTACTCTGCGCTCAAAAGAGCAGCTGGAATGCCTAAAGTACGACAACTACATCCAAGATCTGAAAGCTTGATGTGCTAAGACAATCTCAGAGCAATATGAAACATCAATTTTATAATTGAAATGATGAGTCTGGAGTGGCTACATAGGTGGCAACCTAATTGATGTAAACACCCTGATCCCATAAAAACACCTTGATCCCATGTCTCAAGAGAAAATGCTATGATATGCAGAAATGCAAAATGCAAAGAAACATAAGCCAGTAAAGGTTAAAACGAAAGGGAAAATTTTGGACTGCTACAAACACAACATAGTCTTTAAAGTTACGCGTTCTATCGTTGGCAATGTCAATGATGTCGTTATCTGTCATGACAACTTCTTCTTGCTCCAAATCTTCTTGCACAAGCTCTCGTTGTTCTTCTATGTCTAAAACAATGAAGGGAGGAGGATTCCCTGGAAAATGTCCAGTAAGCTGAAATCTTCTTAGCAACCTGAGAGTTCTTTCAGGTTCAGGATCGTCTTTATAAACTAGGTTTAAAGTCTTGCGCATACAACAACCGAGCAACTGTAGAAACACCATAATACATAAATGTTAGAAGCTCAAATGCTTAACCACACATAATAATAGTATTAAATACAAACTCAAAATATTAACTTGGCACTTCCCGACAACGGTGCTAAAAACTTGTTGCTTGAAAATGTGTTACATGCAAGTATACATGTTCGTTATAAAGTAGCAAGTGATAAAAAATAAGGATATCGTACCCACAGAGAGTGGAAGTAACTTAGGTTGATTTTTTAAGTAACTATCTTATGGAAATTAAGCATGAGCAAGATTAAAAAGAATAGTTGATCGTCACAAACTCAGTTTTCCTTAAATCAATATCTTAACAGTGCAGAGAAAGTGTTACGAATATATCAAGAGACTGTAAGTTAAGTTATGATCCATTAACATGTATGAAGTGATTATGTGTATGTAAAGTGTCGTGCCAGGAATGGTCAGTGAGTGATCTAAAGGTGTGTGTCTACAACATCAAAGGCATGCATACTAGGGCAAGGGAACAAATCTTTATGGCTCACTTATAACCCTAAGATATGCATGTTTATCTCCTGAAATTCCTTTATAGTTATAGTTTCTTATGTCTAAGCAAACTAAATGAGTGAATATCTATATCCTACTCGTTCAATTACTTTTATTATGAAACTCATTTGTTGTTGGATCTCTCACAACAATAAACTTTTATTCTCTTCTAAGTTGATCATTCAAAGAATTAGATTTAAACATGCTAACAAATAATAAAACAAGGCACTACCATCACATCATTTTAACATAAAAATAACATAATATTAACTTCTTATAATTCAACAAACAAATGGTTTAGCTTTACAACTTATAAAGATGGTTCGGAGAGGAAACATTCTTACGCAAAAGATGAAAAAGAAATAGTAACCTAAGAGTAATGTGAAGCCTTCTTGTGATGGATAATCAACAAGTGATGACTCCGATCGCGCCAGACTTTAGCAGTTAGCACTAAAAATGGTGAGAAGAAGAAGCTCTCTTTTCTCTTCAAGCTTTCATGCAATTTTCTCTCATGTGATTTTCTCTAAGGTGTTGAACTATACTTTCAATCTTCAATTAGGTCAATTTATAAGCCTTTATCTAAGGTTTTTCTCCTTTGTCTTGGATCATGGGTCCTTTAGAAATCACATCAAGCCCAATATCAAATTCAACATATTCTCTTCTTTCCTTCAGTTTCATTTGCAAGAAATCAGGTGCATGGACATTAGTGGGATACAGTGTGTAATGTGACAGTCTACATTAGCAGGAGTGCAGGCGGCATTGTCTTGTTCTGCAGGGCGCGCTCTCTAGTGGACGTAATATTGTACCTTTTTTTTGTCTTTTAGCACCATGACTCTTATCCATCTAGCTCAAGAGAATTCCACCAACACAAAAACAAATATTCTTTTCCAATGCAACTTAGGTTCCACGCTTGCCCTAAAAATCCTAGGAATCCAACTGGTTATCTCATTTCATTCCTTAGCTGAGTTCAACTTTGTTCTAACTTGAACTCTCAAATTCTGCACCCAACTGTCTTGTCTCAACTCATCAGATTCATACTTAAAATAAACAACAAACATATCAAAACTACAAAGAGAGCTCCTACTGTGCTCTAAGCTAAATACTATGGAAACAATTAGAATGCATTCAAGTAAATACAAAATGATAAATCTACTAGATAAAAGAAATTTTTAAATGGTAAATAACTCACAAAATGTTGGTTATTATGAGAAAAAGGACGCCCTATATGTCTTTCTATTGAAATCTGATATACACTTTAAAAAACTTTGGACATTAAAAGATAGATCGGTGTGTCCGAAAAATGAGTAAACTCTAACTAAGAATTGTTCGGCTCAACATTTGAATTCATTTTTAGGTAGAACTCACACCACTTGAGTCCAATCACTTGTTCGGTCATGCTATTGTAACTATAAGGTTCCTAAAGTGTGTAGCATGGCTTGTAGGGCATATACTAGACGATTTCTTACCAATTATAAACACTACCGATATCAAGAGACGCCAAGAAAGTATATTTCAAACAAATTGTCTTCCATGCCTATCATCATTCAAAGAGAGTTTCATTGACTAGTTACATTTACAACTTTACAGACATATTAAGTAGCACCAAAAGAAAGGTGTAGTATGGTGCTCCAAATAAGTTTTGATCTATGTGTTAGCTCACCAATTCGACGACTCATGTTGGAGGCTATTTTCAGCATATTAAAAAGACCTACAAGTCTTCCAAGGACTTAGGAAAATTGAAGTCTTGAAACTAAACACTTCGACCTAAGCAAGCGAAGTGGTCTTCGACCGAGATTTTGAAGAAGAGACGGAGTGAGTTTTTGAAATTCGAATCTTGGAGGGAGTAGTTATATTTTCTTATGACTAAGAAGGACAAGTGGCTCTCATCGGATAAAGGACTGCATGCGGTCTGACACTTGTCAAGAATAGATGGCCCAAGGAGGTTATTAGCGGTTATTAGCAGTTACTATTATTATTATAAATAGGAGTCTTAGACATAA